AATTTAGGGTATAAACAGTTGCTGGTTTCATAATTAGTCAGAAAGCATGCATTGGATATAAACTATTATCTTTTTACTGTATGTTAATAGTTAGATCATCAAATTATAACCCAAAAATGACTAATGATTTATTTGGAATTCACTTATTTACATAAATCCATATTCATATAAACTTAAACTCCACTGATGCACATGTTGTGTATGATTTACCTCAATAGGGGGGAACTTTGTCATAGTTGCCACGTTTGACTAGTGGATTAGCAAATGCTGTTTTTTACTATTATTGAGTTGTTATCATGAAGATGCTGCTGATCTCTTGCTTCAGTTTCGCTCTTACGACACCCATGGGTTGAAAAGGCGTAGTGAATTCTCAGAAGCCGACACTAATTGTCACGACCCTAATTATCTTTAAAGCTACCTATTTTTCAATATCTAAATGTATATTTAGATAAACTTGGGGTATAATTTAGAACGTAAAATGTGCCTTTCATATAATTAAGGTGAAACAATCGACACGTACAAAGGCATGACGAAGTAAGCAAAAAAGAATAAGATCGATACTAAAGTAGGCTAGTCGCCATCACGCCCGGTATCATTTTATAAATATATTATATCTTACCTGTGCCCACTACTATAACCTGGAAGTCGGTCGGTAAATCGTCATCCATTGTAGTGCGTTATGATTTTCCTGGAGAAATACTTATTTTACTAAATTTATTAGAAAGTGTAATGTGTAATCCCTCTTCACAAAGGATTTTTTGCTCTCTGACACTTACACTTGACAAATTGACATCTGATTGACGCTGTCAAATGTCAAATATATTTACTTTTTTATGGTTTTGGCTTTTTTTTAATTTTTTTCTTGACCATGGATACAGAGTCATTTAATCGAAATATTAAAAGTTCAATAGCCTGATGTGCATTTAATTCGCAAAATTCTTCACAATATGCAGATTCGTCGCAGTATCACACAGTTGAAAATTATTGTATCTCAAGCGACCCAAGCGAATAAACAAACTTGACTTAACACCGTCATATAACTTGTAACATCGTTTCCGCTAATAGTTCACACGCGCAGCCATTTAAATCACAACATTGCACCTCATTTATAAATCAAAATCTAGTCAAGTTCCCACCAAAAACTCTGATCAAAAACTATAGATATAGTATAAATTCCATACTGTATATATAAACTATGGCAAAACCAGATAAAAACATGCTTAGTGGCCTTAAAGTAATTACTAGCATAGAAAGTCCTAAAATAAGAACAAAATTCTTATAGCTGAACTCTTTATACATATAACGTTTAACATGGTAGAAAGTAAGACAGCAATTTTATTCTCACATTATTTCTTTTACAAAATTTTTGCCGTTTTTCCATTCCACAGACAACTCTTTTGAAGTCAATGAATGTACCATGGAGTTTAGAGAACAGGAGAATGATCGCTACGTGCTAAAGCATAGCCAGCCTGACCCTGAAAATTTGTAGAATTTATAGCCGCGCTGCCGTCGGTGAGTATTATCTGCGAAGTAACTTTTTTAACAAAAAGAAACATTAAAAACTGGTGAAATATTAAAAATAAAATAATAATAATAATAAATCAATAATAATTAATAATTTATACATGTAATAATTTATAATAATTAAAAAAAAATATTTATTTATTAATAAATAATAATAATAATTTAGTTATTTTATTTTCTTTGAATGATAATATAAGCATTACAAACTAGCGCACAATAGCCCGCTTTTATTGAGACAACTTAGCGATCGCAGCGTCTCACTTATTTTGTCCATATTTCTGGGATACTATTTTCTACAGCGATCGTTCTCCTGTTTCTAGCTTGCTACATATTTATTTATCTATCTCTAACTTTCATTGAATGTGCCATAAAACAAAAACATTGTATCGCTAAATTAATTGAGTCTATGACTCGGTAAAATTAAGGATTTTATTAATCCGGTTCGTAATACTTATTTATATCAATGAAAGTTTGTAGAAGCTTCATCTGTCATCTTACAACAAATACAAGTTGAATAATGCGGAATTTCGTGCTATCGTTGTATTATTTTAAATATATCGTGAAAAGCCGGAAATATTTATAAAATGTAGCCGTTATTATATTTCCACCTAATTATCCTTATGGTGGTTTCACAGTATATATATATATATAATATCCTTAGATTAAATAAACACAATTTTCTCCTGTGAGATGTCAGATGAAGCTTCTACAAACTTTCATTGATATAAATAAATATTACGAATCGGATTAATAAAATCTTTAATTTTACCGAGTTATAGACTAATTAATTTAGCGATCCAATGTTTTTGTTTCATGGCACATTCATTGAAAGTTAGAGAACAGGAGAACGATGGCTGTAGAAAATAGTATCCCAGAAATATGGACAAAATAAGTGAGGCGCTGCGATTACTAAGTTGTCTCAGTAAAAGCGGGTTGTTGTGCGCTAGTTTGAAATGCTTATATTATCATTCAAAGAAAATAAAATAACTAAATTATTATTATTTATTAATAAATAAATAATGTTTTTTAATTATTATAAAATATTACACGTATAATATATATATTATTGAACGAAATATATTATTATTGATTTATTATTGGGGTATCTATATAATTTTGTCACCTGGTTGGGTTCTATAAATATATAATTATAAATTAAAATGAAAAGATAAATATACATAAATGTCAATAAAATAAAATAAATATAAAAACTACATAAATAAATAAGATCCAACCAGATGGGAGCCCTCGACAGGGGAGACCAAACGGCCGAGGGTTAGGGGGAAAGGGAAAGAAACCGGCGGACGATGCGGGCGGTATCGAGGAGCACCGCCTTTCTGCATTAGAGCCCGGAGCGGTCCGCCACGTAGTCCCAGCCGCCTCAGATGACCCGAGAGGCTGACTGGGATTAGCCCATTCGCAGAGACGACTACAGGAATTATTTCGGTCGGCATACCACCCCACATGTCGGTCACCTCGTGAGCCAGGTCCAGATATTTTGTTCGTTTCTCTCTTTCGGCTTTCACGAGGTTCTCGTTATACGGAATGGTAAAGTCGATCAAAAATATCCTTGACTGTGCCCGGTCCATCAACACAATATCAGGCTTATTCGCAAGAATAGTCCTGTCTGTGATGATGGCCCGGTCCCAGTAGAGCCTGGCGCGGTCATTTTCGAGCACGGCTTCCGGCAAGTACTTGTAATACGGCAATTTTCGGTCCACAAGACCGTATTTCAGAGCGAGCTCCTGGTGTAGAATTCTGGCTACTAGGTTGTGCCTGTGCAAGTACTCAGAGTTAGAAAGCGCCGAACAACCGGAGATGACATGCCTAAGTGACTCCCCGGGATGGCGACAAGCTCGACAGACGTCGACAGTGCCATCCTTTAGGATGTATCTCCGATAGTTGTTGGTCTTAATAACCTGATCCTGTATTGCAAAGACAAAACCCTCGGTTTCCCCGAAGAGGTCACCGAAACGTAGCCAGTTGAGGGAGGCGGCTGTATCTACGTGAGGCTCGTGTAGAGCCCTGTAGTACCTCCCGTGGAGCTCCTTCTCCTTCCATACGGTCTCCCGGTCGGAAATGCTCTGTACTGCCGGGTCTTGCCATTGCTCGTTGGCTAAGGATAGAGGGGTAAGTCCTTTATCACTAGAAATGACGTCAATATAGAATGGATCATCCGATCTCCCCAGGAAGTAATGACGGAGGCTGCACACTTCGCGATTATGCATGGTGAGCACGCTCAGGAAGCCACGCCCACCATGCTTTCGCGGCAAGTACAGCCTCATTACCAACGATCTCGGATGATGTATTCTAAGGGACGTCATTGTAGTGCGGACTTTTCTATCCAGTGCATTAAGTTCAGTCTGACTCCACCTGAGTAAGCCAAAGGTATACATGAGGACAGGCATGACCCAACCGTTATATGCATGTGTCTTATTCACACCGGACAAAAGGCTGTTAAGCACTTTGGTCAAGCGTGCATAAAACACGTCGCAAACTGACTGTTTCATACCAGCCTCATCGATATCGATGTTCTGTGACGTACCCAGGTATCGGTATGTTTCAGCCTCGGAAAGGGCCCTTAAGTTGACGGGCATAGATAAGTCTATGCCCCTCAGAGCTAGCAACCCTTCCCCTTTCAACATGGAGGACCGCACACTTATCCGTCCCCAGCTCCATTCTAATAGAATTGCTAAATTCACAAGTGATGTTTAGCAATTCCATAAGATGGGAGCGACTGGAGGCGAATAATTTGAGGTCATCCATATAGAAAAGGTGGGTCACTTTTGTACCTCCTTTCCGAAGCTGAAATCCCCTCCCGGAGCCCTCCAGTAAAGTACTGAGAGTGTTCAAAGAGAGGCAGAACCAGATTGGACTCAGACAGTCGCCCTGGAATATACCCCTTCTTATCCTTATGCGGCTTTCCGCAACCGTCATCCGCTCGCCTAGATGACAGAGGATCGTACTCCACTGCCCCATACACTGCTCGAGGAAGTCTCGAACTGTACAGTCAATCTTGTACAGCTCGAGGACCCTCTTTAGCCATGTATTGGGCACCGAGTCAAATGCCTTTCTATAATCTATCCAGGCGGCGGGGCGGAGAAGTTCCGACGGTTGCGTTTCACCACTTTGCCAATGACCGCGTCAATGAGCCCGACCGAGCGCGCGACATCACCTGATTTGAGTCTAGATGACGAGCGATTCTCGCATTCAAAATGGATGTTAGTGTCTTGTATATGGTCGGTAGACACATGATGGGGCGGTATTTGCTCGGGTCGGTGGGACCCTGATCTTTAGGAACCAAATGAGTGATCCCAGTAGTGAAGAGGCTTGGGAGCGACTTCTGGTTGAAAGCCTCTTGAAACTGTCGGTCGAGCACAGCGTGACACACCATGAACCCCTACAGCCAGTAGTGATGCATCCCGTCAAGCCCCGGACTTTTCCAGTTCGGGGCCCTACGGACCGCCTCAGCTACGTCATCCGGCGTTATGATGACGGGGTCCATGGGCGTAATACCCGCACACTAATACCCGCACGTTGTGGTTTACGGGCTCTGACCACAGGCTGCGACAGAATGCGACCGTGTCGGCCTGATTTGGTGCTGGGCCCGTTCCACTTACTATTGGTCGCTCCAATGATTTATAGAGCCTCTTCTGATCACTCTGGAGAGACGATTCTGGTTGAACCGTGTCGACCTCTCGGTATATCGCGTCGTCTATGCGCTCCGTCAGTTTTTGCATTATATCCGGCTGGGACAAACTAACATTTGTCCCTGCAAACGCCATCCTGACGGTGCGCACAATCCTTGGCCTGCTATTGCCTGACCGGAAGTATATCAGTCTGCCGATGAGGGTCCTAGCCTTTGCGATACGTTCTTCAATTCTTATTCTCCAGGCTGGGATAGCACTACTTTGTCCAGTAGCGCGTCCAGCCTTGGAAAGTTTGGCGCCTATAATACGGCAGACTGCCAGTGCGGCGCCAAAAAGAATTGAGTCCGTCTCGCAAAGGTCCCGGCTGGCTTCCAAATAGGTAAACAGCACTGGGTTCAGAGCCCTCACGACAGCCCGTTTTCTTGCTTAGGGCTAAGCGGGGAGGTCGCGGTCGATTTTCGAGAGGCGTACTGCGCGTTTCCACAATCGCCTCTTCCAATTTACTCCTCATTTGCTCTAGTTCCAGTTCCTGGGCGACTGTTCCATCATCGTCTGAATCAACCACAACTGGTGTGTTCACGGCGGCATCCACATTTGCCGTTTGCTCAGCAAGTTGTGGCGCCGCATCCTCAGCCGCAGCATTTTCACCCGATGAAGGAACAGCCTCACGTCGTAGCCGTTCGAGTTCGGTAACATCTTATTATTGATTTATTGTTATTATTATTTTATTTTTAATATTTCACCAGTTTTTAATGTTTCTTTTTGTTAAAAAAAGTTACTTCGCAGATAATACTCACCGACGGCAGCGCGGCTATAAATTCTACAAATTTTCAGGGTCAGGCTGGCTATGCTTTAGCACGTAGCGATCATTCTCCTGTTCTCTAAACTCCATGGCACATTCATTGACTTCAAAAGAGTTGTCTGTGGAATGGAAAAACGGCAAAAATTTTGTAAAAGAAATAATGTGAGAATAAAATTGCTGTCTTACTTTCTACCATGTTAAACGTTATATGTATAAAGAGTTCAGCTATAAGAATTTTGTTCTTATTTTAGAACTTTCTATGCTAGTAATTACTTTAAGGCCACTGAGCATGTTTTTATCTGGTTTTGCCATAGTTTATATATATAGTATATATATAGTATGGAATTTATACTAAATCTATGGTTTTTGGTGGGAACTTGACTAGATTTTGATACATAAATGAGGTGCAATGTTGTGATTTAAATGGCTGCGCGTGTGAACTATTAGCGGAAACGATGTTACAAGTTATATGACGGTGTTAAGTCAAATTTGTTTATTCTCTTGGGTGGCCGGCGCGTTCCCCTGATCTGACACTGCTCGACTATTTTTTATGGGGGACAATGAAACAAAGAGTGTATAACAGTCCCATAAACAACGAAGCGAAACTCGAAGAAAGAGTTTTGCGTGTTGCTAATGAAATTCGAAACGACCCCGAAATGATACGTAGAGCCACAGAGCAAATATTGCTTCGTGCCACAATGTGTTTGCATTTTGAACATTTGCTTCATTAGGCTTTTTTTTTCAATTTGTTTTAATAAATAAATGATTTATGTAGATAAAATCTAGTTTTATTCCTAAAAATGTAGTTCTCTCTACCTGCTACGGTGTTTAACTGAGTTATGTGCTTTTTTTAATGCTGATTAATAAAGTTGTATCTGTGTAATAAACGTGCATTTTTACCATTAGAAAGCTAATATGATGTAGAATAAAATAAGATTTAAAAAAGTAGGATTAAGGGGACGATTTTTCGAGAAATTTTAAAGTTATTGTAAAAAAGATGAAAAACATACCAGATTTTCATCAGATACCTCTTTATTCTAATTTTATGGCGTTTCTTTTTTTGGAATTTTTTACTTTATTGGCACGGCTTATTATTAACAATCATTTAAAAATGTATAATTAAATATTCCACTTTGGTAGGACATTCAGTTTAAAAGTTTTAACAATTTATTTAAATAGGGTTAGCAGCTGCAATTTCATATTTTAAAATTATCATAAAAATTTTTTTTTTACATTTTTTTTAATAATTTTCCGTTGATGAAATTATAATATGTAGTTTCCCTGGTTTTGATATGTGCACTTTATAAAGACTCACACCGTATATATCCCAGGCTTATTGTATAATTTGCCGTATTACATTATGGCTAGCCGTTTTATAAAACAGCCGTTTCGTATTACTGCTGGCAAACGATAAGCCTGATTGACGTATTTCCAATACAGCGGCCGACATTCAGTCATATTGTATGTTCAATTTGCTTTGTGGGGTGCCATGCCAACCAAAAATAAAAACTGATTTTAGTTCAAAAGAATTTAATATGAAAAAAAGTAACCAAAACAACTAACCACCTGAATGATATTCAGCGGATGCGTTTCAGCCGATGCGTCTAATACGACGTTTCATGCCTAATTATGCACTATGCGCTATATTATATAAATATACGCGGCTTTGGGATGGCCCGAGCTGGCCGTACCCTAACCTACTGTCATTGATATTACAAGGCAGTTGCAAAGTTGTATTAGACGCAGCGGCTGAATATCATTTCGTTAAAGATAAGAAGACTAAGCTGTTAATTGTCACAGACAAGATTGGCTACATCTTGAAGCGAGCTTCCATTAGAACATTCTACAAGCCGCCGAAGAAGATTAGTCAGTTCTTACCATCCGTCAAGTGGCATATTCCTCTACAAGATGCAGGAGTGTACAAGCTTGATTGTGATTGTGGTCTCTCATATATAGGGCAAACAAAGAGATCAATTAAAACCCGCGTAAAAGAACACATAGCTGACGTGAAGCATCAACGTTCCGGGAAGTCTGCAGTTTGCGATCATATTCTAGATGGCCCCAACCATTACATCAGATTTGATAGACCACAAATCCTCGCGAAAGAACATCGATTCCTACCAAGGATGATACGTGAGGCTATTGAAATTAAAAAAACATCCTTATTTCAATAGAGAAGGAGGCTGGGTACTACCACCTGCTTGGGATCCTATAATCAATAAAATTAAAACTAAACCCAAGCATACCACTGCAAGACTTCAAAATACAGTTAGTTCATTCTGCGTAGATCGGACCAAAGACAATAATTAAAAAGCTGAAGGTACTCCGGGTTAACTTTGACATCGGGACGTCAGTCACCTCAGTCCCCCGTGACCATGGGTGCTGGAAAGCACCCGAAACGTCGGGTATTAAAATTAATATAAATAAAACGCGATAAAATCCGTAAAAGTAGTTTTAATCATCAGATGCTCTTGGTCGTGTGTATACCGTCCATATAACTAATTTTGAATGTTTCTGTTTACGATTGCTGCTGCACCATGTTCGGGGTCCTATAGGATATAAAGACCTTAAAACTGTCAACGGTCAGGAATGCGCAACTTATAGAGAAGCATGTGAAGCTCTGCATCTTTTAGAAAACGATAATCACTGGGATGAAACCATGGATGAAGCTGTGCAGTGCCAGTCACCAGCCAAAATTAGGGATGTTTATGCAACTCTCATATCATCTTGCGGGCTATCTAATGCACATGAATTCTGGGACAAATATAAAGAATAAATGGCGGAAGATATTTTGCGAAGGTTACAGTAGACACACGCGAACATGACATACAATGAACACATTTATAATGAAGCACTTGGAAAAATTGAAGATAAAGTAATGGCAATGGTAGGCAAAAAATTAAGCGACTTTGGAATGATAAGCCCTCAGCGAACAACCGAAAATGAACTAACTGATGAAGTTATACGTGAAACAAACTACGATATACAAGCTTTGCAGCAGCAAGTAGCCGAATTTCTACCCCGCTTGCTTCCCGAACAAAAACGAGTTTTTGACAAAGTATTAGGACAAATTGAATCTGGAAATGGTGCACTTTTCTTTTTAGATGCCCCTGGAGGAACTGGGAAGACATTTTTGTTAAATTTATTATTAGCGCAAGTACGGAAAGATAAAAACATTGCTGTGGCCGTAGCTTCCTCCGGTATAGCCGCCACGCTGCCAAGCGGGGGCCGCACTGCACATTCTGTTTTAAAGCTCCCTCTAAATCTAGCCCAGGAAGAATCGCCGATCTGCAACTTTAGCAAAAATACGAGCACGAGGTATAATGCTACGACAATGCAAACTTTTAGTGTGGAACGAAAGTACAATGTCGCATAAAAAAGCTGTAGAAGCACTAAATCGAACGCTCCAGGATTTGCGCAGCAATACCGATGTAATGGGAGGAATGGTGGTTTTACTGGCTGGTGACTTTCGCTAAACTTTACCTGTCATTCAAAAGGACACACCTGTAGATGAAATTAAAGCATGCCTCAAGTCGTCTATTTTATGGAACAAGGTGACAAAATTCAGTTTAACTACGAATATGAGAGTGCATTTGTATAATGATATCAATGCTGGAAACTATGCTGACACACTATTAAAAATTGACGATGGGCGGTTGGAAACGGATGCTGAGGACTGCGTTAAATTGACGAGAGATTTTTGTAATTTAGTACAGAGTCATTCCGAATTAATTGCGAGCGTTTATTCAGATTTAACGAACAACATGCATGAAGACAAATGATTATGTGAAACAGCGATTTTTGCACCAAAAAATGAGAGCGTTAACAAAATAAATTCAGATATCTTAAGCGAAGTAGCAGGAGAAATAACAGAGTATTTGTCAGTAGACACAGTTATGGACACAGAACAGAGCACTTCATATCCCGTAGAGTTTCTGATATGTGCCCTCTGAGATGTGCCCTCACATAAGCTTCAATTAAAATTAGGCGTCCTAGTCATGCTAATGCGAAATTTAGATGCTCCTCGGTTATGTAACGGCCTAGCCTTGTCGGCTGCGTGTGACACATCTTGGACGGAACATAATCGGTGCTACAATTTTGACAGGCGTAAGAAAAGGTGAAAATGTTATTATACCACGGATCCCTATAATTCCCACAGATCTTCCTTTTCAATTCAAAAGGTTGCAGTTCCCTATTAAGCTCAGTTTTGCAATGACAATTAATAAAGCGCAAGGGCAAACGTTACAGGTAGCGGGGGTCAACTTAGAAAAACCGTGCTTCTCTCATGGTCAGCTGTATGTAGCATGTTCGCGTGTGTCAAATGCCCAGAATCTCCACATTCTTTCCCCTCAAACTACTTGTCAGATCGCACGAGAAGCGTCAGCTTTCAGATTAAAAAAAAATCATCAAAATAGGTTCACACAGAAAAAAGTTCTGAGGAATGCCTCCTCCTTTTTGAAGTCTGTAGGAAAAACAATCTCCAATCCATGGCGGCTCCGCATTTCCTGGCTTCGATGGCGAACATGGTAAAAACGAAGAGTTTCTGGCGAAAGTAAATAAATAGTAAGTTAAAAAATTTAAATATTTGAAAATACATTCCACAATTTAAAAAACAGTATTGTAAATTTCCAATTATTTCAATAAAACAAACACCAACAACCTTAACCAACAATGAAATTATCAATAACAGTGAGTACACTGAAAATTTTGCTTAACTCATAAAGAAAACAACTTATATGTAAACTAACCGAATATAAGTCAACGAAACTAACACATTTACTGCTTTTCTAAGTATTTTTATATAGAATAATTCTCCATTACATTTCAAACACTTCTTTATTCTTTCGTTCAATTTTTGATAACAAGGACCATTGGTCTGAGGCTCTGAGGGTATCCATCGACCGACACGAGCTGAGCAGTCAGAGACGGGGGTCCGCACTCCCCCCCTCGGACTGCGGTTAGATAGCTCAAAAAACGCCTAAACAGGCGACATGATGATTGGTAACAATACCAAGTCATAAACCACTCATCATCATCCTCACCTCATTGCCTATCCCTTTTTTAATTAGCTCGAGCTCTGAGTCAGATGAAGCTGTAAGAGTCGTATAGACTAACAGCGCTAACATCCAGAAAATAGAGAGAGCTCTGAGGCCATGTTTTTCACGTGCAGGTTGAAAGCTATCAAGGCCTCTTTTT